GGGGGGGTTGGGCATGGAGGAGGACACTTGTGGGGATGAGCACTGAGTGTTATGTGGAAACTAATTTGACAAACTATTTATAAAATAAATAAATAAATAAAATAAAAAATAAAAGGACAGTCTAAAAAAAAAAAAGAAATCAGTGGGTCAGCATTAGCAGGCAGTGAGGACATGGGGACAGAAACCAAGTAGAGAGGGGTGGGTGAGAGGTAGAATCCAAAGTCATGTTTGAAAGAGTGTGCTCTCAGCTGCCTGACTCCTGTTTTGAATACTGGGATACTTTTACTGCTACAGCTTCCAGAGCCCACGTGCAGTTGGGGGTTTTAATTTCCCAGCAAAGACATTTCCTGCCACAGCTGAGACACCCAGGACCTACAGTTGGGACTTCTGCTTGGGCAAAGTTGTGTTTCAGTTTTTCAGATGAAAAGGTTTTTGTGTGTCTTTGCTGCTTTTCTGATTTTTAAGGTAATACTTGTACAATTTTTTTTTTATTTTAAAAGTATAAAACAAGTTTTTAAAAAGTCATTCGTATACCTACTATCCAGAAAAAATGTTTTATAGTACCAAGCTTTTCTATGTAGTTAATGCAATTAATGCAAATTAATATCTATATATTGATTCTTTTTTTTACTCGAATATTTTTTTAAAACAACGGTTGGATTATGTTAGACATATTTTTGGGGTTTTTTTCTCTTTAAAAATTACACCATGGCTTTACATGAAATACACAGCTACATCAACATTTTGGATTCCTGCAGAGAATCCCAACCTCTTATTGATAGATACTCAAGTTATTTTCACTTAAAACTGCTTTTAAATGATATGTGATAAACACTCTTGTATGTACACATTTGTGCATGTATTTTGTTTTTTCCTTAATATAAAATTTTTAAAGTTTATTTACTTATTTTGAGAGAGTGCGAGCAGAGAAGGGAGAGAGAGAGAGAGAGAGAGAGAGAGAATCCCAAGTAGGCCCACACTCCACACCAGCAGCACAAAGCCCAATAGAGGGCTCAAAGTCATGAACCATGAGATCATGACCCAAGCCAAAACCAAGGGCCAAAAACTTAATGTACACAGCCATCCAGGCGCCCCTCTTAATGTAAATTTTTTTAAGTAGAATTCCAGGGTCAAAAGATATGTGTTATGTGAAGCAAAATGAGTCAGTCAGAGAAAGACAAAAAATATATGATTTCACTCATATGTAAAATTTAAGAAACAAAACAGATGAACATGGGGAAGGGAAGCGAAAATAAGATAAAACAGAGAGGGAAGCAAATTATAAAAGACTCTTAAATACACAGAACAAACTGAGCATTGCTGGAGCAGTGTTGGGTGGGGGGAGGCGCTAAATGGAGGATGGGCTAAGTGGGTGACAGGCATTCAGGAGGGCACTTGTTGGGATGAGCACTGGGTGTTATATTTAAGTGATGAATCACTAAAGTCTACTCTTGAAACCAATACTACAGTATATGTTAACTGACCTGAATTTAAATTTTTTAAAAAAGAGAAAAAAAAGATATGTTTAACTATATTAATTGTTCAAGGACAACATGTAACATCAAACAGTTTAAACTTTGACTTCATCTTGCCTCCCTTGTAAGTACTACTCCCACGTCAGGTGGCCTCCCTCCCCATCCATACACCTATCTTGACCCCATTCCTACAAGACCTGAGCACACTGTTACCTAATTGCTTTAATCAATAAGATATTTAATCAAAAAGACACTTTTTATGGCTTTTAATGACTCATTTTCATGAATATGAAAATGATGTCTGGAGCCAAAGGAATGAAGCTATAATGAAGACAAGAAAGACAGAAGAACTATTATGGGCTGACCCTTGACTGATAAACCTCAAAACCCACCATGATTAGCTAGGATGAGGCTTTCTGAGTTATGATCAGATAACCTACCCACTTGCAATGTGAGATTTTCTTGATCTTTTTTGTCAGCACAGTTTCTTTACTGGAATGGTCACCCAAACTTCCATTCTGAAGATCTTTTGTCATTTTGCCCCAGCACACTTCCTATTGCCCATTATGGAAAAAGAAAATGGTCTCTGCAACCAAAGAAAATTTACATTTGGACCACATGCTCCTGTCTGTGTTGAACAGGGGACAGGTTCTAGACCTTTGTGTTAATCTCTGAAGTCTGTTTCAATGGCACTAGCAACTCAGGAGTATGACCCAGTAATTACTAAGTCCATTAAACTGAAAATCTACTACATTCTCAGCCACAAGCATCACCTACTAATCTTGCAAGGCACCTCTGTGGACAAGCCACAGAGGCCATGGAAAATTTACTGTGGGACTCTAGGATCTTATTTCATGTTCTCACATTTCTCTGAAGAAAAGAATGTTACTTATAAACATGGAGTTAAAACTCTTACAAATTTCACAAGGTTACAAAAGAAAAGGGGAATCCAATCTTGAAAACTCAGTCTAAAAATACCAGTGAATACACAGAATGTAATTTTTTAAACCTAACTCAAATGGGTGACTACTGGCTTTTTTTTCCTTTCCATTAGTGTGATGCTTCAAGTAATACCTTCCTTTTGTGAAGTCTGATTTTCTATTATCCTCTTACACATAGTAGGCACTCAATAAATGTTTACTACAATGAGATAAATTTAATACACTTAGGTCAATATCTTTCACACATTCTTTCTAGTAGTTTATAGTCAGAAAACAATGTTGACACCAGCCGTTTCAGAGATAATACCAAAGGGAGCTCTCCAAAGACACCTGAAGTAAATTATTAAGTTCTAATTTAAACCACAGCCAATATTACCAATTTGATTTAAATAACTTGTCCAGCTCTGAGAGAAGAACAATGATTTGGGGAACAGAAATAGATCAAGAAGATTGAGAGTAAATGGCAGGAGTAAAGGGTTACATATTTGCAATTCTGCCTTCCTGCAGTGAACAGTCAAAAGCTCTCCTGCCAGAAAATAATATCTTGAATTGAAAACCATTCAGATCATGGTGGATTTCTAACTCTATTAAATTCCCTCCTCCCAGGCAGCCCATTTACGAAAACAGTATAATCGCTGTTAATATTGTCATTTAATAAACACATTTCTGATGGGAAAAAGATAAAATAATCCATCTATATCCCAACATGTAAATAAAGATTTCCTCATAAAATGTTAGCTTTATTTGAGGTTGTTGCTTTTCTTTTCAAACTGATCTCTTAGGAATTAAAATATACCAACAAATGGAATTAGTTACACAAAGCAATAAAATATGTTCTTCCTAATATGCAAATATCTTCCTAGGTTCTCAGGATAACAGCACACTGGAACGACAGGGATACAGAAAACTGTCATTTAAAATGCCCAGAAGTGTTTTTTAAATCAGAAACCATATTCAAGCAGCAATTTTTCACTGTGATGTACTTTGCCACTCTATTCATTCAAAACTTCTTAGTAAGCACTTATATATCACCCTGATGTCTCGCTAGTTCCTTGGGTGACTTCCTTTGGAGAGTAAACAGATTTGAACAGACAAAAAAATAAATAAAATAACACATCCTCTGTTCACATTATACCAAAGTGCCTTACGAGAATCATTTCAGACACAAATTTTCTCATGAGTGGGGAACACTCTATTTAGTAAAATAGCTTAAATATGATCATAGAAATCTTTTCAAAGATAAGATAATGCTTTTCAAAACCAATTAAAAATTGTTT